CAAAAATATGAGCTACGTCTTTTGTAAGGCCGGCAACCCTCTCGCAACTACCATCTGCCTATTAAAACGATGGTCAATTTTTATTATGTACAGTTGTATTTAATTTAAGACGTTAATACATACATTATTTAAAATATTTTACTTCATTTACTTCATTTTAATATAATGTAAAATAATGTCAATTATACTGAATTACCGGTGTTGTTTATTTTTTTACAAAAACGATACAAAGAAATCACCACCATTACCGTTTTTAAAACTATCTTATTTTCATGGTATGGTTCTGTAAGAGTAAAATTGTGAGGGTAGAATTTTGTCTCTGGATCTCTACCTACTAAGTAATATTGAGTTATGAAAGGGTATAGTCCAAAGTATCTGCAATTGGACGTCTCGGACTGAAAGATAACGAAACAAGTAACCAAAGTTTCAACTTTATTGTTGTTTTTTCGTACGAATGTGATCTAACTAGATCCAGATCAAAGGTATAGGTGTAATATTTTCATATCTTTGCTAGATTCTGACTATAGACAGATGGACAGAGATAAGAAAACACCCTACAGTAAACTACTTTCCAATAAATAATTGAAGAAGAAGTGTGCTTTATTATAAGTATATATTAACTGGTTCCAATACACTTTTGAAGTAGTATTTAAAGAACAATAGATATCTACGTAGTTGGTAATGTATGCCGTGATGAACATGCATGTGCACTATGTGATGATGTGTGATATCACGAATGTGTGTTTTGTGATCTGGAAACTGTTGGAGTAATGAAGAGTGTGGAATTAGAAAAAGTTGACATCATGAATGTGAGTCACTTCGATATATATGATTTATGTTGTTTTATTTAAAAGAAATTAATGGAAAACTTATGGTAATTTTAGTGTGGGTGTTGCCACAAGTACGGTAATAAGCTATTGTGAAAAATTTATAATAAATTCAAAGTTAAATCTACGTTAGTGTTGTTTGTACAATATAATACAACATATATTTAATATTTCTGTTAACAATAGATATATTATTTTAATTTTTGTGATCAAAATAGAAATGCATATTTTAAAATAAGTTTAAAAATATACTTTAAAAAATAAAAAAGACTTTAGAAAGTTTAGAATCGATCCAAAACCAAAAACACTTTCTTCGATGTACAATGCTTAAAGTTCAATTTTAATTATAAATGTAACTTTTTCTAGGATAAAATAAGTTTTATTTTATTCAGTCACACTGTAAGTTGTCGCCACTCACGGTGATTACCATTGCTGTTTCAAGAAGAGTCACCACCATCTTAGCAATACTAATTCCCTACAAATTATTTTAACAACGACATGTCAGATCTCTAAAAAGTTAAAACAGCAAGCTAAGTATGCTTTCCAATAGAATACCAAACCTAAAATCGTTTCAGTTTTATACATCAGGTGGTAGTACCAAGCGCCCTCAAATTGTATACCGCGTTTTCCACCTGCGGGTACCGAATCAAACATCTTTCTAGTCAAAGCACTTTCTTCTAATCAGACGACATGACTAAGTCAGCATAGCCGCTGAATTTTTATACGCTTAACTATGTCAATGTCGCAGTATAGCTTATATAGCTCATTGGTCCATTCATTTCGATACCCGTTGCCAACGTTTAAGGGGCCATATATGTTCCGAAGAATGTTTCTCTCAAATGCTCCTAACGTTTTCACATCACTGTGGTAATTATCCAAGCTTCTACACTATACAGCAGGACAGTCATGATAATGATATCAATATCATCGGCATACGCTAGCAGCGTTACAGTTTTGAGGAATATTGTGCCAGTGTGGTTTAAATTTGCTGCTCAGATTAGCATTTTCAACATTAGGTTAAAGTAGTCACACGTCAAGGAGTTACCCTGTTTCTTTTCGATTATAATGAAGCTAGTGGTGTTCCTTAACGTCATTTTTATACCAGTAAAAAGCTGCTTTAAAGTCGGAAATAGGTAGTTTGTGTTGATTTGTTTTTCTTAGGTTTTCTCCAGGATTTCATGCACTGTGAATATTTGATCTGGTGTCGAATTGCCAGGTCTGCAGCGAGATCTAGTCGTCGTGTTAAAAGCTGCTTTAAAGTCGGAAATTGGTGGTTTGTGTTAATTTGTTTTTCTTAGGTCTTCTGTAGGATTTGACGCACTACGAATATCTGGCTTAGGGTGAAATTGCTAGATCTGAAGCCATACTGATAAGGTCTATTCATTTTAATCCAAAATTTATGCTCTATTTAAATATATTTAACGCATTTCGTCAATTTTACGGTCAACATTATTGACTTAACAAGTCGGTTATTCAATAAGAATCAAAAAATTTCGCAGTACATCCTTGACACTCGTGTCACGGAAAACCCTAATTCATTGAATCGACATCGTTCGCATTTAAAGCATACCAGTTTACTGCACATACTGATTCCAGATAATCTTAATTTTTCAATATACATAAATGTGCACTAGAATATAGGTATATGTCAAATAAACAAATTTGATGACACAGTAGAAACATTTTTGAGCGAAGGTCTGGTTAATAATCTGCGAAGTAAGCGCGGGTATATTAAACTTCCGCAAAGTTAAAGCTTAAATTCGCTTTAATTTTAATTATTTTAAAAATTGGAAAAATTGGTTTTTTCGAAAATCAACTGCAATATTCAATAAATTTCTGATATAATTATTATATTTGACCGAGTAACTAATTTCAATTAAGCTATTTTGAATTTTTCAGTTTACTGTACTTAATCTGTAATTAATTTTCCATTGGCGAGTCGCTCTGCCAACAGACGCATTAAAATATGGTGAGGAGTTAAGGAGTATGCACTCCATTTTAATGGAGAAGATGCAAAACCTTTTTGGTTTGACTATTCAGTCACATATAATATACATATGTATTTGCCTGGGCATGTGAGTGGGTACCATTTTTGCAACTCAGGCAACAATGCGTGCTTGGTTAACATCAAATAAAATGGAATAATAAAGCGGCTTTCTAGGCTAAAAATGCAGTACAAACAATTCTCCTAAAAAAAAGAACTTCACTGCATAGTTTTTATAACCGTTTTTAGAATGGTTTACATAATACACTAAAAACAATGTGCAAAAAATATGCGATTTTAATATGTAAAAGAGGGTATATATTGTGTAGCGCATTATTTTTGTTGATCAAAGCCTTGTTGTGTCGTATAGAATTATGTATGGAACATGCGAGTACAGGTATATAAACGCTTGTGTTTTCATATAAAAATACTAATATGGTATATGGGTGGGGCGGAAAAAACTCGTGGAAGTGTGAACACCAATTTTAAGCCCACTCCGCTTATTGTCCCGTATTTATTTAGGTACAAACTCACGCCTCAGCACTTACAATGCACATACATACGCAATCAACAATTTATAGAGGTTGACCAATTGTTCTGATTTGTAGATCAATAATGAACAAATGCATTTTTGTTGCATTTAAAACTCAATTTTTTGTTCGAGCTCGCGGGAACCATATTTTTTGAAACTTTATGGAATATTTTTGTCAACGCATTGAATTCAAAAAATACTTTGCATATTTTCCCCTACAATTATTAATCATTTATAACTTCTAAAAATTATATAAATTTCTACTAAGACTTATTAACTTTTATTTGTGTTTGTAAAATTCCTCCTTAAGATTTACGAAAACATGGTCACCATACTAGAACTCAGAAACTTATTAAACTACATCATTTTTGCGTACAAAAATATTTAATCCAAGTTCGGCTATGACCAAAGAAAAAATAATAAGAGAAGATTCATAAAAATCGGTTTTGCTAAAATTAGAAGAATCATTGCGAAAAGTTGTTCAATAATATTCGATAAAAAAGTTTATGAAATCACATCATCAGAAAACAATAAAAGTAATCACAAAATAAAATAGTGCAATAGATAGTACTGTTTATATATATATTATATATTGAATCCTTTAACCTCTAGAAGAAGTATAGGGCCGCAACAGATAAAGCACACTAGCAGATAGGCAATCAGTCTGACAGGCAGACGTTTGTTACAGATAGAGAAACAGCCGAAAAGCCACACAGTCAATGGAATAGCATGCGAACAGATATGTATACAAACATACTGGCAAACAGACTGACTGCTAGGCAGACAAACAGCCAGGCTCAGAGACCGTCACATAGGTGCAAAAATAGGCAGACAGTCAAGGAACAGGAAAACAGGCAGGTTAATAGTTAAGTAGATCGATAAACTTACCTACTTACTGCAGTCTTCTTCTCTTTGTGGAGTATAGAGAAAACTGCAGCCCTCGATAGAGAGGCAAATAGATAGGCAAGCGGAGATAAAGTCATACAAATTGACAGCCTAACAGAATGACAAACCGAGCTGTAGCAAAGAAATATGAGAACAAATAAACTAATAGGCAGACAGACAGGTAATTAGGCGGATCGACAGGCGGTCTGGCATTTAGTCAGGCAAACCGATAAACTGACACAGGTAAACTGACAAGCGGACAAGTTGGCAGAGAGACGAACAAGCTGTTAGACAGGCAAGTTGGGATATAGGTAGACAGCCAGCCTGACATTGCTCAGGTTAATCATCAAATATGATTAATTTTAATTTAAATATTTAAAAAAAATATATTTAATTTAAATACGAATTATTTTCTAGATTTTTAATACTTAATATATTTTAGATTTTGCTTGATTTTAGCAAATCAAAAATGTATTTTAAGTAGTTTTGTTTAAATCTATTAGGTCTTAATTTTTTATATTTATGGCGCACCCAGAATTTGAATTTCTCTCAGTCTTAAGCGTTTGTATTACTATAACTCAATTTTGTCTCAAGACTTTGTATTAAATATAAATACAAAAAAGTCTTTTGTTTTGATTTTATTTAATTATGACAGCTTTGAACTGATATTTCTTTAATTTGATGGAAAATAACGCTAATAACCCCTAAAAGCTTTTAATTTTAGGTATAAATAGCGCTTATCAGCAATTATATTCAATGTAATAGCATCAGTGCATCTTTATGTAAACTAGAAAGAATTTTTGATTATTAAATAAATATTTTATAAACTTTACTCAATACAGATTCAATTCAGTACAGTTTTTAACATCAAAGCATTCAATCATGCTCAGAAAAACGCCGACGATATTTTTGCAAATCGTTTTCGTTTTGATTTTTGCGGAGGTATTTAATGGAATATTTTTTTCTAACTGAACTTTTCTTCAAAATAATATATAAAATGATATAATCAAGAATAAAATAAATAAAATATGTTTTCAATTTTGATTTACATTTTGTAGTTTGCCGTCGGTGTAACAATCACACGAAAAGTGACGCGAATTGATTCAGATGGAAATAAACATGTATGGACATCCACTTCCAACGATCCCGATGACATTGTAGGCGAGAATTTTCGATTAATACCTGACACTGTAGAAAGACGTTTTGGTGGTTCAATTGTGCCAAATGACGAAAATATGAAAGAAGTGGGAGTGATCAAACGCGTAGATTCTGATGAAGTAGACAAATTATTTAGGCCTATGCAAACTGTACCATCAACAATAACATATCGCTATTTTAATACAAGACCCACATTTTCATTATCAGGTGATATATATATCCGTGAAAGATATGATTTTAACAAATCCTTTTCTTATCGTATTAGATTTTGATTGGCCTTCTGACATTTCAACGACAACAAGAAAACCAAACTCTAATTGGCCGTGGCCAACAATTAACCAACCAACACCAGTAAATACACCAGCAACACCTAAAAAATCGGACGATGAAGACAAGGTGTCTGAACGACGTCAAGAATCTAATGAATCACCTGAAACAGATTTGACAAAGAATTGGAAATCAAATCCATGGCTTTATACACCTCCAAATTATGTTTACACCAATAAGAATATGCCCAAATTCGTTGACGATGATCCAGTTGTTACAACAACACCAAAAACTAATATATTATCCACAACAAAAAAGGCACTAACTCTAGAAGAATTTCTGGAATCAGAATACGATACAACGACAAAGAGGCAAGAAGAGGATTTCACTACTAACAAAAATGACAGGGTCAGTCACAACAGACGAACAACAACAACAACGCCTGCACCACATGTAAGTAACCAAACCAACAATAAAAGTTACACCAAAATTGAGGAAGTAGATTTGCTTGTAACAAAAAAATATTATTAAGGGTCCACATATTGATAAAAATTTTTTTTAGAATACTGAAACATTTATGCAGCCAGTCGATTCATCAGATGTACTCACTAAAACTATAAAGGTTGAAAATATATTACCATCAGATACTCTGCCCATCGATAAACCAGCAATTGGCAGGATCCCTCCTGTTCGCACTACCACCACAAATCACCATACAATGAGAGTATATCCAATATATGTTGACCCCATAAGTCAATTCTTAGCAAAAGTGGAACTCAGCACAAACGATATAATAGCGAAAGGTGGAGAGTTTTCAAAAGTTATTAGTGACGATAATGGCAACGTTCTAACAGTGACATTCTTATTAAGCAGTGTGAAAAAACCCAACGAAAATGTAGGAAGAAGGTCCAATAATTATCAACCGATTAAATAAACAACTGCATGTTTACATATGTATGTATAGATATATATATATTGCAGTGCTTTCCAATAAAACAATTATTTTTAATTAAAAATAATCTCATGAAAATAATACTTACTTTTTATTATCAATAAATATGCTAAAATTAATGTAATCGAAATAAGAAAGAAATGCATTCAGTCAAAGTGGTTTCTCTATATTTAATTAAGTTTTATTTCATGATATATAATATATAATGAAAATTTATTGATCTGAGATGTATAAGAATAAAAATTTATTTTATTCTATAAAAACATTTCTATATCTCATTATATTAATATTTTTCATTAATAGCTTTTAAATGACTATATATCAGGGCTGTCCAGACCAGACACGATCGCGGACCACTTTAAGTCATACAATACAATACAAATACTGTGATAATATTAAATTAAGTTTTATTAATTTAGTTATTTCAATTCAATTTTTTGAGATACTAAAAAAAAAAAAAATAATGTTATTTTATACAAAATATTTTAAGGGAAAATTTGCGTAATTATGGTAGCTTAGAAAGATGTCACGGGCCACACATATATTAGCCGCGGGCCGCATGTGGATCGTTGCTGTGCTTTGGACAGCCCTACTATATATCATAATGAGCTATTAAGTTGGTACTACTAGTTGAAACAGATAGATATAGAAATAGAGAAGAGACAAATACATAAACAGACAAAACCGACAGACAATATTTTTAAAAATAGTGTAAAAATTTTGTTACTACTTGATAAAATATATATTACGAGAAATATCTGATATATACATTTTATATGATGTATTTACTAAGTAAAGGTAGACTGTTTAGTTATGAGGGATCTGTTTCCTCCGCTGCTAAGTTAAGGGTCTAGCCATTAGAGTTAGTAGATTAACTCCTGTTGGGTAGAAATTTTCGTTATTATACTTCCGTAAGAAAATTAAGAGTTGTAAACAGCTATTGGCTACTTTTTGATTAGCTCACTATTAAAAATACTTAAATATTAAATAAAATTCTGAAATATATAATAGATGTTTTAATTTTCAAACAATTTTTAAAGCTTTGACCACAGAAAATCGGAAAATTGAATATGATCAGAAAAAGATTCAAGCTCGAAGTTTTAAGTTTTATAAATTTTTTTATAAATTTTATAAATTTTTATATTTTTGAAAAATTTTGTATAATTAAAGATGAACACTTCACACTAGGATATGAGTCATTTTAAAATTTTTAAACTTCTATGAGTGTTCCTCAAACTCCTGCATAGCATCATGTCTATTCTCATATATAAAACTATATATTGTATATAAATGCAAAAATTTTTATTTTTATTGCGATTCTCAACGTTAAGCTCTCATTTCAATAATTTTATAGAGTCTATAACCTTGATAACCCCTCTAAAAGCTTTTAATTCTAGGTATAAATAGCGCTTATCAGCTATTATTTAACTAAAAAGAATTTTTGGTTATTAGAAAAATATTTTGTAAGCTTTATTCAGTATGATTTTAATTCCGTACATCAAAGCAATAGAATCATGTCTAGAAACATATTGAAAATTAAGGCAAGGTGTTTTCATAAAAATTCTTCCAAACGGTGTACAATGAAAATTTTTCTATTCTATAGTTGAATTCCACTAGAAATGACTGCATTTGAATGAATAGAACTAAATAAATTTTGACAGGAACTAGTAATGAACTTTGAGAACCCTATGCTCCACTAGGAGAGAAGAACAGCAGTAAAATTAAGAACTAATTAACTTATTCATTATGACAGTGAACTATACCTTTATAAGAATGCAAGTCGTTTTTGGTAAGATCTTTCGATTAAAACCAGATATTGTCGACGTGTCTGTCGTTAAGTAGTTCAATTATGAATGAAAGTAACAAAGTATATGATATATGAGAGATAAATGACAGTAGCCTAAAGCACCTAAAGTTTCTGTAACCGAAAGTTTAAAGTTAGGCAATAATTTTATATGTAAAATATATGACATTAAAAATATCAACTTCTATTTTCTTTGCATCAATTTTAGATTGATCCATAATATGTACTTTGAATGACAACAGGAACACATTATTTTGAATATTGCGGTATAGAGAATTATACAAAAAACGACTACAATCTAGTAACTATAAATCTAGTAACTATTCTATGTGAACATCAACAACAACGACTATTGAATCTAATGTAAGTAACCAAAGCATTTTGTTACTTACTTCAATGTGAAGAGAGAAAAATTGCCTTTAATGACGATTTTTAAAGAAGACAAAGCTATTGATAAAGAATTTCTTCGATCTTCAGTATTCACTTAAACTATAAGCTACCAGCCCACATTAATCATAATCAGCAACATTCAGAATCAATTTTAATCTGTGAAGCTGTAGATGATCACAAAATTCAATTCTAAGTACGACTAAATCTTCGCAAAGGCAGGGTTATACTAGTCATCAGTCTACATCAACCATAACCAACAAAACTCAAAATTCAGACCCAATTTTAACCAATGAAGTACTTAATGACACATAATTCAATTCTTAGCAGGTCTGAATCTTCACAGGGACAATTTAAAAGTGAAAATCCACGACCTTTAAATGCTGATATTTGTATTAAACAGCGTAAAAAATGCGGGAACTATAGTTATCAGATAGTTATCAACCAATTAAATAAGTTTATTTTTATATATGTATGTTTTAGATATGTGTTATGTTAATAAAGAATATTTGATGATCTAGAATACATAAAAAACAGAAAAATATAAAATCATTATAAAGATCATTCCAATAAAATTTATATATTAAAAACTATCTTCTAGATCAGATCAGAATAAGCTTTAACTATAAGATGAGGTGAGCAATTGTAGAAATTATTTAATTATTTAAATTGTCAAAATTGATACAACCAGACAATTTTTGGATTATTGTTTAGATATTTTTGTCAGTTATTCAACAAAATAATAATAATAATAATCGGAAAATATTGGCAATTCCGGTAATTGGTTTACAATAAAAAATATAAACAAGAAATTGGAATTCTTATCTTTATGATTTCTAGCTTTGATAAACCTAGTATCCTAGGCATTAAACTAACTAGAGGCCTAATCCCTTTTCCCTGATTACTGGAATGAGTTTCCACATTATTGTGGAAATCTTCTTCATTCATTCCTAAGATGTGGTTTTAGTAGGTGCAAGGACTTCTTGTCAGATAGTAAATAAAGATTATTGACTCAACGTTATGTGGCATTTGAGATAGAAAATTCGTCTAAAAAGAGTAGATTTTACACCACAATAACGCATCCATTAAAAAGGATATCGTTGTGAATGAATTTCTAACCAAAAAATTTAACAATTTTTATCGAACAGAAACCGTATTCCTCTGAGATGGTTCCGTACGACTCTGATATAGTTCCAAAACTTGAAATACTATTTCCAGGTAACAATTTTCAGTCGATAGTTGACAGAGAAGAAAATTTCCTGTGAATACTATTGTCAATTCCAAAGAATGTAATTAAAAAAATATTTAGATATTTATAGCCGTAATTTTTTTTCAGAGTTGAAGAAAACAGAATTGAGTCTGTTTGAAACAAATTGGCATCACTTTTAAAATATTTCAAATACTTGTTTTTGACATATGTTTTTTTTGTGTTGTGTACAATATAAAGTATAAAAATTGTAACACTAAAAATTAATTAATTTTAATAATAGAAAACAAAATATATATTTGAAGAGCAATGATTGGCATTTTTATCTTAATACTTAAATTTATTTAATTTAATTTAATGCTTATGTGATTTCAATGGATGACTGGAATTTTGGAACATATTTCTAGTAAACACTCACAATAGACTAATTTTTGAATCTGACTACACTAAAATTTAAGATTCCAAATTTTTTGCGAGTAAAACCTAACTCTGAAGATTTTAAGAGCATTGTTGTTGCTTCACATGTTTTCTTTCGTAAGTTGAGAGTATTTTTTTGCTACTCTGAAAGAAAAAATTACAGCTAATGTTATTCCAAACTTATTTCATTTTAATATTACTATTTTCATTTAAAAAAAGGTTAATCACAAACATTTAAGGATCATATACATAGGACCTAAACACTTAAATAAAATTTATGTAAATATATATTAATTTATAATATTAATTAATTTTAGGAGATGCGCATTTATTCACATTCTTTATAAATTTATACTTACCAAATGATAGATACGAAGTTTCTTCTCATGACATTAATTGCTTGCGTTAAAAGTAATTATAATAAAAACATATGAATTAAATTTCAGAAACATTAAATATTTATTAAATTTTGTTTAATTCTATTTCAATGTTACAGCATTTTAATTATACTTCTTTGTCTCTGATAAATCATTGACTAAAGAAAATTTAAATAAAAAAAAAAAACAAAATTCAAAAAACGCCTTAAAATACTTTTATTTATAAAAATAACCAAAATGCATTAAAGTTAGTTTTTAAATTATAATTTTATTTGAAAATTTCGCTATCAATAAAAAGCAAAAAAAAAAATAAAAAAAAAATATATAAGATAAAATAAAATAGTGAGAGAAACATGAAAAATACAATAAGTAAATATGTAAATTTAGGAAGCAAATAATTATATATTTGACTACAAATAGTTCAATAAAAAGTGAGATCAAATAATAATATGTCAAAATTATTGCAAACAAATTAAAATAAATTAGGAAACAAAATTTTTAATGTATTCTTCATTAAAAATAATTGATTTGAGCTTGGTCTATAGTTGCACTGGATTAAGGATATTTTATTTTGATTGTGGCAGTTACCCTCAGCTTTAGCGGTTTATACGAAAGTTAATTGCGATAGTAAGTACTCAAGCCAGGTATAACATAGAAAAGAAGAACTAAATTAATAAAAATTGTATTTAATAGCATTTAAATATTAAATTTTAAAGCAAAATAAAGCAAATTTAAATTATTACTCGTTATATATTAGTTAGAAAAGCATTGCCTATCCTACTGCATGTGAAAAGCATTGGCGAAATTGCAAGCATATAAAATTTTAAATTTTAACAAAATATTAATAAAAATATAAATAAAATTAAAACAATTAT